TAACCCCCCTCTTGATTAGCTATTATTGAGCTATCAGGAAAAAGTGGGATTAGCCTAGGAGAGCAGGGCAATGCTACAAAATAAATTGGCACCAAAACTCAAGGACTCAGGGAGTTTAACTTTACCTATTTTACTAGGCAAATGATTTTATTTTAATGCCTAATGTGATACAGGTGTAAGTGTAAACTTAATGCTTTTGTCTACTTTCAGGAAACTAGAGTTAGGGCAGTAAAATGATCGAATGTGACACTATAGTTGGCAGATAGGAGCATCGGATATCCATGGAGCAAGGTTAACGATGTGTCCATCAAGGTTGGAATATTCCCTGCGGACTTCCTTGTTATGGACCTCGAAGATAATCACGATATGCCAATTATATTAGGTCAACCCTTTTAGCAACAAGTCGAACTTTGATTGAGATGGAAAAGGGTAAGCTGATTGTGAAGGTAAATGACGCACATAAGATCTTTAAATTACATAATCCACCTAAGCAACCTTTAGTCTTGGAGGAGGCCAAATATGTTGTTGAAGAAATTCATCAAAGGTCGAAGGAGACAAAGTCTAAACTTCTAGAGAGCCTTGCTAGAAAGGAGAATATAGAGCTCAAGGTTTGCAGGGCAAAAAGAAAATGTAAAGCTGAAAATTGCAAGGACCGTAAAGCTGCAACACTCCAGCGTGAACCACCATGATCAATCTCTTCATACAGTCTAGCTAAAGACTATAAATTAAGCGTTTGTTGGGAAGCAACCCAATTTTCTAACCCTTTTATTTATTTTGCTTTCTGTATTGCATTGCATGTAGTGTTATTCTTGATTTATAGGTTGTATTAGTTATAGGCACATTTAAATTCAGTTTGGGAGTCATCTTCATCATTAACACTCAGCCTAATCAAAGGAAAATATTAATTGAGTCAAAAGAAGTTTTCTTTTTATTTTTTCGAATGTTTTCTTCCTATCTTAATAGGTACCATGGATATTGACATTGAAAGGAGCTTAGTAAAGTACGAGTTAGAATAAATTGATAAATAAATCCTCACACATTCAACATAAAATTTTTAAAAGTACCGTTCTCATTTTCTTCCACATCCCCTTGTATTCTTACTTATATTTTGTGACATTGAGAATAATGTCGGTTTTAAGTTTTGGGGTGGAAAAAACTTTGAGTTTTTACTTTTCGTATATTTTTTAGTGTTTGTATATTTATTTTTCGT